AAAGAGAGCCAATGAAACTCTCTCTGCTGCACTCAGTTTTCATCTGACTCCTGTTGCAAGTTTTTCAACTTTGTCATAAGAGCAAAACGTCAAAGCTCGCACTGGATCTTTACGCCTTTACATAAGTTGGGTGTAAATCTGGAACAAATAATTCTTGTATTAGAGCTGGACTCAATGTAAGAGCCGAGGCAGCTTTCTTCTTTATTAACTGTGGATAATAAGGAACTGTCAGGCTCTTAGTCTGTTACCTTACACTTATGTTATACACAGCAGGCAGGCTTTAATTTAAAAAAAAAAAACAGCCTGTGTGACACTTCAACAAAACCAATCAGGAAATATTTGTTAACCTAACAAATGCTATCATACAAGCTTCTGAATACAGGCTACAGATGTAGAGTTATTGAACTGAATTGAACTGTGTTCACACAACGAAGTGCAGTGATTCAATTAAATTAAATTGAAGTGAATTGAATTCATTGATTGTGCTAATGATTTAATGTTTGATATTGTCAAGTAAAAGACACAAAAATTAAATGCATCTGAGGAACTTTTCAGTAGCCTGAACACATATCTGTAAATGTAATTTTGAGCCCAGGCATCTGAAACCTTGATCATAACAGAGTTTGGTGCAGGAGTTTAGCTTAATCCAGCATCTGGTAAGTTTAAGCTGGTTATAGAAAAGTGCTGAATGTTAGTGAAAACACAAATGTCATCCATATTCAGATGGACGTGCTGCTCTTCTTCAGTGAGATTCGCTCACTGAACTCAATGTGGATCATATTTTGTCAGACACCCAGCTGATGGTAAACTCCTCGTACTCTGGTCCCGTTCAGCAGAGCTCAGCAGTCTCTGTCTGACTGGCTGCTGCTGCAGTTACTTTAACCTCTCTGCTCTGTTTCAGACCAGAAAATCATCACAGCGGAGCCGGGACAGACCGTCATTCTGCCATGTCGAGCTCCAAACAACGACATCATCGGTGTAGAGTGGAGCAGACCGGACCTGCAACCAGAGCAGGTTTTTCTTCACCACGATAAGACGTTTGATCCAGTAAACGAGCGTCCGTATTTTGACAACTGGATGGACCTGCAGGACAGACAGATGGAGGACGGAGACGCGTCTTTGGTCCTGCAGAAAGTGACGGCTGCTGACACTGGAGTGTACGAGTGTCACGTCTTCATGAGAGGAACAGACCCCAGGAAGAGAGCTAATCCAGACGGTGACCCCATCTGCATCATCCAGCTGAGGGTCGATGATGCAGAAAACTAAATAAAAGTTTAAATAATTATTACGTAGCTTTAATTGTTTCCTCTTTTTAGCCCTTTTATTTAAAGTTCTTAATCAGCAGCTGTATTTTGATCATATAACAGCTTTACCATCTGCTTCAAATAACTGAAAACACTAATTTAATCTCTTCAGTCAGTTCCTGGGCAGTGAGACGTTCCCCAAATCCTTAAAGTTACACTGTGATCTGTTTTAAATTTAGAAGAAGGTTTGCTGGATAGTTTTGTGACAGAAGCAATGATAGGAAATATTTCATCATAAAACTGTTGGTGAGGTGAAGCTGAACTTTGAATCAAGGTCTGTTTTAACGTCTTTGTTAAAGAAGGTAAACATACCGGTTGGGTCTTACTGGAATCTGAGCTGCATCTGTTTTTCTACAGGAAATATGTCGGAAATGATTGACATGTGATAATAATATATGAGTATCAGCCTGAGGCTGCAGCTCGACTGCTGTTTGTCTCTGTGTAGTCTTCACTCTGTGTCGCCGGGAGCTGAAGTCAAGTGCTTTTTAGGTTTCTTTAGAGCTAGATCAGCAGGTTTGCAAGTAGACCTATAGGTTAACATGATCACCTGCTGCAAACACTGATAAGAACTGAGGCGTTCTCATCACAGAAACATCATTTTAATAGCTAAATGACCAGCTAACATCTATTATTTACTGACTGCCAAAGACTGAAAAAAAAAGTATACAGTCGGACATAAACAGGACGATGGAAGTGAAATAGTCCAGCGTGTTATTTAATGACATTCAGAATATGCTTGTTGACATCAGGAGTAATGAGAAGTTACGTCAACTCAAAGCTGCTGAACCGCATTCCTTAACATATCGACACGGTTGCTGTATGTATACAGCTGTGGCAGTTTTATTTATGTTTCATGTTATGTTTTTCAATAATATACACTCCTGTTCCTCCTGTCAGTCAAATCTCTGGGATATTAAACCCAAACTGAGAGCAGATACAAACATATTAATGAATGGTGGTCCAGTTTGTAAGAGCAAGCTCACAGAGTGAACATGACCTCTGACCTCCTGACGGCCTCAAACTCCAGCTCATTTGTCTTAAGTTCATTTGTTGAAACTGATTCACTTCTTTTTTAAACAAATCTGCTACTTTACTTCTTAAAACAGAATAATTGCTACGATGCCTTCCAGTCAGGTTTTAGACAGAACCACAGCACTGAAACCGCTCTGACCAAAGTGTTTAATGACATATGTCTGAATACAGACAGTGGAAAAATGTCAGTCTTAGTTTTACTGGATTTCAGTGCAGCATTTGATACAGTTGACCACAACATATTACTCAAACGACTGGAGAACTGGGCAGGTCTTTCAGGAACTGTACTAAACTGGTTCAAAACATACTTAGAAAACAGGAAATACTTTGTATCATAGGTAACTTCACATCTGAGCAGACAAGTATCACATGTGGAGTTCCCCAAGGTTCCATCTTGGGACCCCCTCTGTTCAACATTTACATACTCCCACTGGCACAGAATATAAACAACAACAAAATAAACTATCACAGCTATGCAGATGACACACAATATATATCACAATGTCACCAGGAGACCGAGGCCCTGTACAGGCTCTTGGTAAATGCATTGAGGAAATTAATGACTGGTTGTGCCACAATTTTCTCCAGCTAAACAAAAACAAAACTGAGGTAATAGTCTTTGGCGCCAAAGAAAAACGATTACAGGTCACCAGAGAACTTCAATCTATACACCTAAAAACCACCAACCAGCGAGAAATTTGGTTGTAGTGATGGATGCAGACGTAAACTTAGAAAAACACATTAGGACAATAACAAAGTCAGCTTACTATCACCTCAAGAATATTTCAAGGATCAAAGATCTGATGTCTCAACAGGACCTGGAAAAACTAGTCCATGCATTCATCTTTAGTAGGCTTGATTACTGTAACAGCATCTTTACAGGTCTACCTAAAAAATCAGTCAGACAACTACAGCTCATTCAGAACTCTGCTGCTCGAGTCCTCACTAAGACCAAAAAAGTGGACCACATCAGTCCAGCTCTGAGGTCTTTACACTGGCTGCCTGTCTGTCAGAGGATAGACTTTAAAGTTCTGATGCTGGTCTATAAAGCTTTGAATGGTTTAGGACCAAAATACATCAATGACCTCCTGACCCAGTATGAACCATCCAGATCCCTCAGGTCATCTGGATCCGGTCTTTTATCAGTTCCCAGAGTCAGAACCAGACACGGAGAAGCTGCATTCAGCTTTTATGCTCCTTATATCTGGAACAAACTCCAGAAAGCCTCAGATCAGCTGAAACACTCAGTTTATTTAAATCCAGGTTGAAGACTCACCTGTTCTCAGCTGCATTTGAATAAAGCACCAAATCCACACTTTTAAGCTTAAATTTCAAAACTTACATTAACTACTGATTTTATCTACTGTTCTGATTTTATCTGTTTTGATTTTATATACTGTTTTGTTTGTTTGTTTGTTTGTTTGTTTGTTTGTTTGTTTGTTTGTTTGTTAATTAGTTAGTTTATTTGCTTGTTTTAATCAATTTTAAATCATGCTTTTTATTTGTTCTTGTTTCTAATGTCTCTGTAAAGCACTTTGAATCACCTTGTTGTTGAATTGTGCTACAAATAAACTTGCCTTGCCTTACTTTTTAAGAAAATTCAGTCAAACACATGAATGGTCAGTGGTAAAGGCTTGATTATACTCCACAGACAGTGTCTGAGTGCTCATTCTGCACATGTGCACTAAAAGAGCATTTTCACTGGTTCACTGAAGTCAAATAGAGGCTCTGTGAAACTCAGTGTATTATTGTAGGGTCCACCTTTCAATAGAAAGCACCTTAAAGCGACTGTTGTTGTGATTTGGCACTATATAAATAAAACTGAATTGAAGATGTGACCCTGTGAACGACTCCCCATCTAAACAAGAGGGCCTTATACTAAAACAGATACAGAGTAGGTGTCCTCCTATAGTATAAATCAGTAAGAGAAAGTATGACCTCTCTCGTGACCTTAAGATGTGTGTGAATGCCAGAGCACGCTGGAAGGCACACAGAGTCTTTGCAGACTGCTAAGGATCAGATCTCTATCAGTATGCAATCGATTATAAAGCTCTAAGCATATATAAGTAATATAAATATAATATAAACAATATAAACCTCACACTGATTTTGCTCCTGTAGATGAAGACTGTTTGTTTGTTTGCTTGTAGTTTGGTTTCGCAGAGAAACATGATTGCAGACTAAAGGCCAGCACTTTGTGTTCTTACTCACATTTGAAAGGTCATAAAATGGTTAAAGAAGTCTCAATTATTTGCACAGCCCATTGTTATAATAATCAATAATAAATGAGTTATTGCTAATTTTATAATGAACTGATCCTTTTAGACATATTCACCATGTAATGCACCAGTGTCATCAATAGATGGGAGCAGACTTTAAATGCTTCACAGTTTTCAGACTCTGGAGTTTCTGCTGAGCAGCAACGAGATGTAACTCACACTGACTCACACTTTCATTCTGCTGAAGTTTGTCAGACACAACGAGCTCTCAGCTCTCTGCTTTCATCTTAAAGTACTGAGTGAGACCTTACAAACGTCTCCTCAGACAAAGAACATTTAAAATACAGACAACTGTGACAAAAAATGTAAAGACAAAGAAAATATTGATTTATTATATCTTTTTTGTTTTACATTTTTTACATTTTAAATGTATTTGTTAGTTTGTTTTATCAGTAGAACCTTTTAAAAGAAACACAAAGAAAGACCAGAAGCTTGGTTGCAGTTGTTGGTCTGGTGGCTCACGTCTCAGATCTGTGGCGGCAGAAACTGTAAACAAACAAACACCAAAGAGAAAAATAAGCAGCTGTGCACACAACCAAAACTTTCCCTCAGAAACTACAAACATATTTAGAATTATCATTATCAGAGGGTTTGAACGAATTAACAATGGCCTTTATTTCAAAACACACTTCACTGGACAATGTCAAAGAATATAACTCAGATCTTCCTCCAGAAATTTCACAATAAACGTTTGGCAACCAAACTCTCATGTATATGCTTTTAATGTGAAAGACACCCAGCAGGAAGTCCCAAAAAGTTGATTCTGTTCATCTGGACGTTTTCAATGGGAGAAATGTTTCGTCACTCATCCAAGTGACTTCTTCAGTCTCAGCTGACTGCAGGTTGCCCAGTACATGCATGATGACTGAAAATAGCACCACTGAATGAACAATGGACTGTGAGGTTCTGTGTTTTATATAATGTCCCCACTTTTATTTTTAGCTGCCCATCCAAACACAGCAGACTAGGCCCCCTGCTCATGTTGCTGATACTCTTCCTGATCAATTTAAAGGAACAGTTCAACCTTTTAGGAAACAGATTTATCTTCTTTTTACTAAATGAAAATCAGCTGTACCTCTGGGTCTGTTTTCTCAGATGTCTTATGTTCTCACTGCAGCTGGATCAGGGGTAGATGCAGGGTTAGAGGTGGATGGAGGTGGAGGCGTGGATGTAGGTGGAGGTGTGGTGGTGTGTTCCCCTAAAATAAAGCAAACACAGTCATTAAGTTGTCGTCACATTGTGAATGTTGAAAGCTGCAGAAACACAGACAGGTGAGTGTGTCACCTGTGACAGTGATCCAGCTGGATGGAGACTCTCCATGACCGCTGATGTCACACTTGTAGAGGCCTTCATCAGACCTGGAAACATGCTGGATGGTCATGTGACCTGTAGGCTGCTTCCTGATGAGGGAGCCATCTTTATAGAAAGCAGCTGGGAGGTTGGAGGGAGTGGTCTTTGTTTTACAGAGCAGAGTGACGTCATCTCCCTCCATCGCAGGGAGGACAGGACTCTGCAGGATCACTGATCCACCTCAACACAGAGACAAACTACAGCATTTCATCCATTTACACACAGCTTCATCAACACTAACTCCACACACTCAGCTTACCAGTGACTGTCAGGTTAACCATGTTACTGATGGGACCCTCTCTGGACTCACACCAGTAAACTCCACTGTCCAGAGAGAAAACATTAATTTTACATGAAGAACCGACACCTTCTACCCACCCATCTCCACACTGAGTCCTCTGTTGTTTGCTTGTGTTTCTCCTCAGAGTCCATCCAGCAGAGCTGTCGTCCTCCTCACAGCTCAGAGACACAAAGTCATATTAAAGAACTGAGAGCTGCTGGGACTCACAGTCAGACGAGCTGTGAGGGTTAAAATGAAAATGATCCACACGGAAAAGTGAACAACTCATTTGTTTGATACTGTTTTGTGTTCTGTTTCTTAGTTGCATTTATTCTAAAATCACCTTGTAAAGAAGCGCCCAGGGAGCAGAGGAGAAAGCAGAAAAGCCACATTTCTGGAACAGGAGCTCTGACAGCTGATCTGCTGCTGCTGGCTCTGTAAAATCAATGTAGACAAAATCTGGATTTGTCTTTACTGTGACAGTCAAAGGTGTGTGGGAGGTGCCACTTCAATAGGAACACCTCTTTAACCCAGTGAACTCAAACACAGGCCTGAGGTCTGCTGCTAAGTCAATAACAGGATCCTGCTTTTTTTCAGTGCAGCAGGAGGTGAAAACAGGTTGACGGGATGTGATGTAATGTGAGTGGTGGTGATGTCAGCAACAGTAAGGTTTTTACATGCACAATTTAACAACCATAGTACAGAAACCCTGAGCACACATCAGAAACCGTCCTCATCAGTCTGAGTAAATGCTGTGAAAGCTCCATCAAAGAAGCACCAACCAGCTCAGCAGCAGCAGCTTCTACATAAAACCACAGATTATAAACATCCACCAACTTTCTGCTGAGGAGGAAGACGCTCCGACCTGAAACCACAGAGCTGCGTCTTCATGCTTCGTGTCTCCAGCTGAAAATTTAACTCATATTTTCTGTCCTTTGTTGGGGTTTGGTGACTCCCCCTGAAACCTTTATCACGCTTGCATCTTCTAAAACCAATAAATTAATTAATTAATTCAGAGCATGTGAGCTAAAGTTTGAGAAAAGCCAAGCCTCTCTATGAAATCTGACATCTGATGTTAAACAGGTTTTATGGGTAACGCTCATGTTTTCTGTGTTAACACAACATGAGAGGACTTTAATTTGATCTATGTGAGGTGAAATGTGGGTCAGGTTCCCTGCTGTCAGATGAAACCCAGCTCAGTGTGAACTGTGCTGTCATTGCTCTAAAAATCTTTGTGTCTCTGAAACGCTGAGCCTGCACACAGAAGTGCATCTAGACTTCACAGACAGCTGAGCATCATGCATTCACACAGCCAGGACTGAAACTGTTTGTTCCTTCCTTCTTATTGAAATATTCCACGTATAACCTTCATGTTCATCTCAGCTGTAAGTGGAAAAGCTTCATGACACTCACGATAAAATATTTTCTGTAAACACAATCATGTGGTGTCAGTCTGAGCTGCCTGGACTCAGTTCTACTTTTATTTAAAAGAAGAGAAGTGTCTCCTCTCTCTTGATCTGCGGTCTACGCTGTGTGTTTAAGTCTTTGTGCAGAATCCGTGTTCCTGCTCTCATTTACTGTCTTAGCTGTTTGGTGGTTGTTGAAATTTTGTGAGATTTCACCAGAGATTCTGGCATTTCAGGCAAATACATTTATATTAAAAAGTCGATTCAGGATTTTAATGAATCGATTTTACATTATCCAAGCCAGAATCGATTTTAATGGATAAATCGATTATAAAAACCCACCCCTTTCTGGATGAGACGTCAGTCGTATGTTCCAGTGTCATTAATCGTCACATCCTTCAGAATCAAAGACACGTCTCCATCCTTCATCTGTCTGTCCTGCAGATCCACCCTGTTCTTAAAAGATGGATGCTGCTCATCTATTTCAAATCGCTCATCATTGTACAAAAGCACATATTTATCTCCCAGGTCAGCTCTGCTCCACTTCACAGCTCTGATGGGTTTGCCTTGTGGAGCTCGACATGTCAGAGTGACGTTCTGTCCAGACTCAGCTGTGATGTGTTTCTGGTCTGAAAGAGGAAACAACACAGAGCAGAGAGGTTAAAGGTCAAAGTACAACTGATGACTTCACAGTCAGGAGCTACAGACAGACCACATACATTTAAATTAACAAATGTAAGAACGCGATCTAATGAAGCTTTTTAAAGAAACCACCTTATCTTCTTAGAAATAATCAACATAAATATTTTTTTAGTGTGTAGTTTAGTTTGATCCTGCTGTAAAGGAAGTGTGTATTAGGAATGAATAAGCATGCATCAATCATGCTATGAACAAATAATAAACTATCTTTTTGCTTTACTCTTGCTGCCTCGTCCGTACAGATGAATGTGTTTAACTATGATTTAAACTATGGTGGCTGTAGCTCAGGTGGCAGAGCAGGTCAGCCACTAATCAGAAGGTCGGTGGTTCGATCCCAGGCTGCACCCTGGCTGTATGCCAAATATCCTTGGGCAAGATACTAACCCCATGTTTGCCTACTGGTGGTGGTGGTCAGAGGGCCCGGTGGCGACTGTGTCCGGCAGCCTCGCCTCTGTCAGTGCGCCCCAGGGCAGCTGTGGCTACAACGTAGCTTGCATCGCCAATGGGTGAATGACTGAATGTAGTGTAAAGCGCTTTGGGGTCCTTAGGGACTAGTAAAGCGCTTTACAAATGCAGGCCATTTAAATATAAAAGATTTAGTTGAGTTCTAATTCAGCTTGAGCTCTTCATCTGTGCTGAGAACAGGAAAATCACATCACGTACAGACTCACTGTCATCATGGACATGAACACACGTCTGAGTAATTTCATTTTACTTTGTCATTCAGAGAATCCTGTTTGATTAAAAACAAGCTCAGTCTCACCTGCAGAGACAAACAGGAAGCAGAGAGACAGTGACGTCCAGCAGAGAGACACAGAAGTTACAGCAGACATTTCTGCTTCATGCACACTTAGATTTTTAGAAATGTCCAAAGGACGGTGATATTTTCCAAAAAGAGCAGAAGACTTCAGTTTCAAACCTCATGAGATTAAATTGGAACATGACGCTGTGGTAACAGGTTTGTTTGTTTTCAGAGGGAGGGAGGTGGAAGGGTTGAACTCGGATATCAAACATTTATCTATCTCATCCTCTTAATGTTTTTGGTGGTGGATGATAAAGCAAATGTGAACATTTACATTACTGACACCTGAGCAAAATTGAGTATTTTGGTCTAAATAACCCAATATGGGATGTCCACATATGTGGACGCCAGGTCCTAGGAGGTTAAAAAAAAACAGATCACTGACCAGCAGATCTTTGACAAAAAACCCTGTACCCAGACGACCTTTCAAAGTGCAGACTGGCGCCACACGATCAGACATTTGACCATGAGGACAGTTTGTGTTCGCAGTGAAAGATCCAATCACAACTGTCAGGAAACTTTCCACTGACGGCTGAAATGAACATGAAGTTGTTTCAGGAATATTGAATCACATTAACAGTTCAAACCTTCACTATAGATGATGTTCAGCTCTCTGTGAAGTTTGGGATGTTTAATGAGTGCACTCCTCAGTCTGAGCTGACTGTCATCTGGTAGCAGGAAAACTGTCCCAAATTAATAATTTCATTGAAAATGTGCCCAAATTAACTACAATTTTAAATCCATTGTTATAGAGTCAATTCAGAAACAATTAATTCAATTCAATTTAATTTATATAGCGCCAAATCTAGTGAGGAGGTGAAATTATTAACAAGATAATCGACCTCTGTTGGGGTAGCGTTCAGGCAGCTGCTCTGCTCTGTGTTGGTACAGGGCATTGAAGATGATAACAGTGGGTGGATTATATTCTTAAACTTAGTTACAGCGCTTTCAGAAAGACATCTACTTTGATAAAGTCTACTCTCCACTGCTGTGTAATCAATTATTGTAAATGTAAATGTTATCAGGAAATGATCAGACAGGAGAGGGTTTTCAGGAAACACTGTTAAATGTTCAGTTTCTATGCCATATGTTAAAACAAGATCTAGAGTGTGATTAAAGTGGTGGGTGGGTTCTTTTACATTTTGAGAGAAACCAATTGAGTCTAATAACAGATTAAATGCCATGTTGAGGCTGTCATTTTTAGCATCTACATGGATGTTAAAATCACCCACAATAATTATTTTATCTGAGCTCAGAACTAAATTAGGTATAAAGTCTGAGAAATCAGACAGAAACTCTGTGTAAGGCCCAGGTGGACGATAGATGATAACAAGTAAGACTGGTTTCTGAGTTTCACAGCTGGGGTGGACGAGGCTAAGCATCAGGCTTTCAAATGAATTAAAAGTCTGTCTTGGTCTTTCATTAATTAATAAGCTGGTGTGAAAAATTGCTGCCTCACCGCCCCCTCGGCCTGTGCTTCGAGATTTCTGGTAGTTAGAATGACTTGGGGTAGGGCTGTGCGATATGACCAAAATCTCATATCCCGATATAAGACATGTATCGTCCCGATAACGATATAAATCACAAAATTTAACATTTTCTGTAAATTCTGTGAATCTCGGGCAGCTCGACTTGCGGGAAGTGTTTCCAGCTTGGCGTCGCGTACCTGGAGTCCAGTGTTTTAACTGATGCATGAAACTATACATTTTTAGACATTAGTTGTAACGGCCGCCGTTTTCTTTGTGAGTATTTATTACACGGCGTGCTGCGGGGAAAAGCCTGT